TTTTGTGCCCGATTTAGGGGAAGATTACGTGCGCTAACGTATTGAGTGATTTGTATGCCATGGGAGTCACTGATTGTGATAATATGTTAATGATATTAGGGGTCAGTCAGAAGATGACTGAAAAAGAACGCGATGTTGTCGTTCCCATCATTATGAGGGGATTTCGGGTATTTATCTGACATTTTGAGTACAATGTGTTGACTACTATCTCAATAGGACACTGCTTTCGAAGCGGGAACACAGATAACCGGCGGACAAACAGTCATAAATCCTTGGCTTACGATAGGAGGGGTCGCGACCAGTATTTGTCAGCCGACAGAATATATAATGTAATTATATTTTATTAAATGATTGCCAACCCATTGATTGTGTGAAAACAATTTAACGCAACATTTATACGGATAGTCCCGATAACGCAGTGGTTGGCGATGTATTAGTGCTGACAAAGCCGTTGGGAACACAGGTGTCAAGCATTTCGTACCAATGGCTCGAACAGTCGGACAAATGGGCACGAATTAAATTAGTGGTCACTGAAGACGATGTACGCAAAGCATACCTGAGGGGAATGGACAGTATGAGTCGCCTCAATCGTATCGGTGAGCCCTATAAGTGATAGCGTTAATGAAATTGATTGACATGTTTGCTGCCATATGTCTAGCATCGCGACTAATGCACAAATACAACGCTCACGGGGCCACTGATGTCACGGGGTTTGGCCTCTTAGGTCACGCGCAGAATTTGGCAAGAGTTCAAAAAAATGAAGTGTCTTTTGTAATACACAACCTTCCAGTGATCGCCAAAATGGCTGCCGTCGCTAAAGCGTGCGGTAATATGTTTCAACTGCTTCAGGGACACTCACCCGAGACCTCAGGTCTGTTTGGCTGTTGCCTTCATTGTTGATGAATTGAGTTGTCTTATTGTACTATTGTATGGACAGGAGGTCTACTGATATGTCTGCCTCGAGAACAGGCGGCCGCCTATTGTAAGGACATAGAGAAACAGGAGGGCTATCAGGCGTGGATTATAGGCATCGTTGAGAAGGGCAACAGAAGCGCTCGCATTATAGACAAACCCCGGGTTATTGAAGTGCCCGCAAAGGAAAAGGATGGCGAGCTTTGGTAACATTTATTATTTTTATATAACAAACCATCAT